GAGAAAACTGTCCTAATCATCAGACCATGCTGTCCCATTGAAACCAAGACCCTCGAATCATGAGAAAACTGTCCTAATCATCAGATCATGCTGTCCCATTGAAACCAAGACCCTCAAATCATGAGACAACTGTCCTAATCATCAGACCATGCTGTCCCATTGAAACCAAGACCCTCGAATCATGAGATAACTGTCCTAATCATCAGATCATGCTGTCCCAAAGCTGATCAGAGTTGAATTGAACAGCAATGTGTTTTTGCTGTGAAACAACCAAACCATAAAAATATATGAAAAAATAAAGTTTGTTATTAGCTTGAGATTAATGAGGTCCTAGTAATAGAGATATTACCTTTCTTATTAAGTAGGTTTCGTAATGTAACTAATACTATTATGAAGAAATTACATGATTACCAGTATTATCAATAAATATGACAATCAGAGATATTATAATGATATCTACTTCTTGATGCCATTCTTGTAGGTTTAAGTCTGGAATGAATAATTACACCATCAGCAGACAAAGTCTGTTTGGTCACCCCCTAATGGTATCTGTGCCAAGATGGGAATGTACGTACGAAATGTTGTACAACACAATCCTCAAGCATATGTCGTGAGTATTGCTTGTAATTTTAATACTTGTAATTTGCTGACATTTGAAAGATACATTCACCTTTATTATGAGTAAAAAATAATGAAGTATTAGTTTTTAATTGTAAGAAAATTTCAGATAATTCTTATACTAAAAGTACTTTTACCTTCTGATACAGTGTATTAAGTAATGTAGGAGTTTAGTATTTAGTTGATCAATGAGAAATAGTTAAACTAAAAGCTATTACAGGTTTTCTATGCTAGAAGGTATAAAATTGGGAAGCTATTAGATTATATCCATGGGTGTGATAATTAATTCTATAATTTTTCGTTTAACATTTTTATTCTTTCTAGTCGATATGTGCATCAGCCTAGCAAGGATGAAGAGTGGTGGATTGACAGTAGTCCAGAAGGAGTTAATGGAGGTACTTGTTTTAAAATATTGACTCGTACTACACAAGTTCAACTAAATGTATGTTGTTTGATGTGGGTATAACATTAATACAAGTGTTTCTGGACAGCTTAGAGATAGTTGCATCATCATGGACATAACTTTTTTGGAGAGATGTGTTTCTAATAGGATTTTTTTCTTGATGTCTTTGTACTAGTTGGATATTTTGAGCTTTTGGTTTCAAGGCTTATTTCTAATCTTTTTCATCTGTCCAGAATTTTCTCAGCACCACTACTCAGACACAAGTATATGCCGTACTGAAGATGATACTACTTAAGATAAACCTTACTTCTCAACATCATTTCTCAGTTTTTATTGACAAGCAACTAGAGACTGTTGTTTACAGTAATGGAGTGTTAAGTGAAGGGAAAATCTGATGGGAGAATTAACTATACATTTTGTAGAAAATAATCATTATTTAGAATTGTTGCATTTTAACATTTACAAAAGTATTTATTTATCAGAGGTAGATATGTCCAATGGATATAACAAATTGGTGGACAATGGAGACGATGAAGGCGTGAGTGATACAGAAGAAAGTGTGACAGAACCTCCAAGTTTATTCGTTATCAGCAGTGTTAATCCACATGCAACCATAGAGGTGGATGATTTTAAAAATGATGATTTACCTCTTAATTTAACGAGTAGGTACTGTTTTGTTTATTTGGAAAACTTACTAGAGTTAAACATAGTATGTTCACGTTTAAAAGAAATGTTACACTTGTCTATCCTTGAGAAATGTTTTATACTACATATACATACACAGCTGAGAACTGCAGATTTGGGACATTTCACCTCATAGCCCAGCAGGAATTAGTAATTGAAGGACAAACTTAAAAATCATAAATTTCAATAAACGGTTTTTGTTTTTAAGATGTAAACAAAATGCTTCTAATTGTTGAATAACTTTTAAAAAGTTCCTGTAACCAGGTGGCTCAGAATTTCACAACCAATTCTCAAAGTTGCTTGATGGCCAGCAGATATTTGTTGAAAGGATTGAAGAGCTTTTGAAATTTTAACTTGTTTGATATTTGTATTTTAAGATATATTTTGATAGCTGTAAACTATACAATTACCTTGTATTTTCTAACACTACTGAACTTTGTCAGTAGTGTTCTGTACCAGTAGTCAGTGCTGGTGATACTTAGACGGTGAGTTACACCAGAGACATGTCAACACGAGATGGTGATACTTAGTTTATAGTATAAGTTATGATTTATTTACTTTTTAAACCAATAAACTTGTATTTATATCTTTCTCCATCATTGGTCTGTTAGTTTGGTATATGAAACCCTTTTTGTGTTTTTAATTAGATCGTACATATGTTGCTGTTGACTGGCATCCCAAGGCCAAGAAAAAATTCTATGATGAGAAAGAGGCCAATGTGAGTAATTAAATTTTTATGCTGACTTTTGTCCCATGTACATGTACTTATCTCAAACCATTATATGACACAAAACATGAAAGTTTGAATATAATTCAGCATTGAAATTGTTGTAAATAGTTTTATTTTAGAAAAATTATTAAATATATTTCACATCTGTATGTAAGTTTCCAGTTTTGGAGCTGATTATTTGAATATCTTCATTAAACATAGTTTTCATTTTTCTGTACGCTTTCAATTTGTTAGTTTGAGTATTTCTAAAAGTTGTTCAATATAATTCAACTTTCTCTACACTTCCAGGAATATACTATTCACGAATCGATGAAAGCAAATTTATCACCCAAAGTTCAGCCGATAAAGTTGAGTGAATGTTTAAAACTCTTCATGGGCACAGAGAAGCTGGGAGCTGAAGACCCCTGGTACTGTCCACATTGTAGGAAACACCAGCAAGCTACCAAAAAGTTTGACCTCTGGTCATTACCTCAAGTTCTTATAATTCATTTAAAACGGTTTTCTTGTAACCGTTACTGGAGAAACAAGATAGACAGTCTGGTAGATTTTCCAGTTAGGTTAGTAAATGTGATATTGAAAGTAATTCATGTGTGGGTCTAGTTGGTACAGGAGTTCATTCTGAGTGTACTAATATTCCATAGGGACATTGCTTGTCATAGACTCACATTGTTAATAAGTTTAAATAATTTTTAATTACTGATTATAGAACATTGTTTCAATAACAGGTATAAAGCACATAAAGAATTAAATAGAGTTTAGCTGGCTTTATGACAGCAATTACATGTTAAATATAAAGCTGGACTAATAATTTGAAACAAAACAATTATAATGTTTATTCACTATACTTGATACTCGATGTTTTTCAAACAAATTGCTGCTTTCCATGTGACCCTTAATAACATTAACATAAAGCATTTTAACTAATGATATTTTGGTGGTGTGTTGCCGAGTTCATTGTCAGGTCTGAGAAGGGCTCGTTTATGTGGATCTGAGTGCAGTCCTGAGAGAAAAAGTTGATAATTAATTGTTTGTCAGGATGTTGGTTCAATCCATTTATTATTATACAAATTAGTAAATGAGTCTATATCTGTGATAGTGGTCTTGAGAAGGAGTTCACGAGTCTATAGCTGTGATAGAGTGGTCTTGAGAAGGATTTCATGAGTCTATAACTGTGATAGTGGTCTTGAGAAGGAGTTCACGAGTCTATAACTGTGATAGAGGAGTTCCCGAGTCTATAACTGTGATAGTGGTCTTGAGAAGGAGTTCACCAGTCTATATCTGTGATAGGTGGTCTTGAGAAAGAGTTCACGAGTCTATAACTGTGATAGAGTGGTCTTGAGAAGGAGTTTACCAGTCTACTATATCTGTGATAGAGTGGTCTTGAGAAGGAGTTCACGAGTCTATAACTGTGATAGAGTGGTCTTGAGAAGGAGTTCACGAGTCTATAACTGTGATAGAGTGGTCTTGAGAAGGAGTTCACGAGTCTATAACTGTGATAGAGGTCTTGAGAAGGAGTTCACGAGTCTATAACTGTGATAGAGTGGTCTTGAGAAGGAGTTCACGAGTCTATAACTGTGATAGAGTGGTCTTGCGAAGGAGTTCACGAGTCTATAACTGTGATAGAGTGGTCTTGCAAAGGAGTTCACGAGTCTATAACTGTGATAGAGTGGTCTTGAGAAGGATTTCCAGTACTGTCAAGTTCTTGTTGTTTTATTTTCTAGCTTTCATTTATTTTATAAAAGATGGCAAAAAAATAAAGAACATGGCACAGAGTCTGAAATATCTCCAAAACTAGAAAGGTGGTAGGAGCAATACATATGTCAACACGCATAAGAAAAGTTTCAGAAAACTTGTATGTTGTTGTTTTTGTTGAACTTTGGTATTATTTGTTCTTCTGGTAAAAGTCCCTATTTTCTAGATATCACTGATAATTTGTTGCTTACATTTTTAGTGGGCTGGATATGACACATTATGCGATAGACCCTAACCATGGTCCAGCAACTTATGACCTTATAGCTGTAGCCAACCACTTTGGAGGAATGAGTGGTGGTCACTGTAAGTTTTATCATTTAAATTATTCTATGACAAACCAAGAGTATAGACTGTTAAACAATAACACTTTAATATAACTATATGGTGCATTAAACACTTAACAATGTTCAGATGATTACCCCAGTACTGTTGTATGAAATATAGCATTGTTGACAAACTAATTGTTGTATGTGATACAGATACAGCCTATGCCAAGAATAAAGATACACACCAGTGGCATTACTTTGATGACAGTAATGTCTCCCCTACCTCAGAGGAAAATATTATTGTAAGTATCATTGTCTTGTCTATAAACATGTTACAGTAAAACACTAGGTCTATTTATCTTCTCAACTTGAAATGTGTGGTGCAATTCAGAATTAAACCATCTAGATAATAATAAGAGTTATATCCTGGCTATGATAACTTGTATTTTATTTTTCTCTTATATGATTGTACATAGTGAAAATATCAATATTTAACAAAGTTTTAACACTAATGTATCTGTTCAGTCCAAAGCAGCCTATGTCCTGTTTTATCTAAAGAAACCAGAAGCTGAGACGAGGAAAGAAGAGACAGTAACTATTTCTCAAAACGGACAATTAAGGAATAATGAGGAAGATTACAACATGGATATACATTAACCACCAAACAGTTTAGTAATATTGTTGGATTAATAATTAACGGCTCTCTTGGAGAAGAAAGAAATTTAAAAGTAAAGTTTATAGTGAAAGTGTTAAACCAAAAATAAGAATTTTAACTCGTGTTCAACTACAGTGTTTTGTACATACAGCTAGAGTAGTCAATTCAAACCTCATCAAGGGTACATCTCTAAATACTGAAAAGGTGCAGTTTTTGGAAGATTTGAACTGTTGCTCTTGGTTGCTTTAGTCATCTTTTCATAAGAAATGTTGTTTTTAATTAATACAATGTATTTTAACTTGTTGGGAAAGTTGTTTTCAGGAATTACAAAAACAGAATAATGAAACAATGTTATTAATTTCCTAATTGTATAATATGAAACTGAATAAAATGAAATGTTCCTGGAAAATAGACACATTATTTTATTTAATTACTCTAGGGTATGAGTACTTAAAATAGTGGACTGGCTATGTACGCTTTACTGATCCAGAGGGCAACTACTAAGTGCACACATCAGGCCTTATAATGTCACTGAACCCTATATAAAATGGAAGAAATTTTTCTCTCTCAATGTTAAGATCAAAGCATTATTATATATATTTCTTGTACCAGTAAATAATTTTTCATAGAAACTATAATGGAGGTTGTTACTATTTAAATGCATTTTGTTTTTCACAATTGAATTAAAAATTAAAGGAAATAATAAAGCAGGACTTTTGATATTTACAACACTTCAGTAACTGTTTACTGTCTATGAGTACAGTACCATTCTTGTGTAGTTCCAGTCTTAAGCACATATTTAAATAAGTAGTTTGTCCTTAATGCAACTAATGAACCAACTAATGAGTTATTGGAGATTTTGTAAAGAACAGTTTGCTACTACCAGGATATCTGGAACACGTCATCTCCGATAACGTATTAACGGACTTTCTTTACATACTAGTCTCAAGCTTCAGTTGTTCATTATTCTCTGTCTTCAACATAAAAACTAAATTATTTTAAATTGACCAACTTTATCTCTCTGTAAAAACCATACTTATACATTAATGAAATGAAGCCAATTTCCACTGGCTAATTTCATTTACTCATCACTCAAAGATGGAAGTTATATATAAAATTGTACAACTTCAAAACCCATAAGCATATGAACATATGAAATAAAGCACCATATAATCTAAACAAGCTACCAACTGGAGTTTCTTGTTGAGTAAAGTACAGCACAGTATCTTCAGACCAATCCATGTTATGATTACTGATTCAGTATTAATCTGAACAAGCCACCAACTGGAGTTTCTTGTTGAGTAAAGTACAGCACAGTATCTTCAGACCAATCCATGTGATAATTACTGATTCAGTATTAGTC